CGTTAAGCGTCTGCCTTCGGCTCAGGTCATGATCCCAGGGTCCTGGGATCGAGCCCCTCATCGAGCCCCTCATCGAGCCCCGCATCGGGCTCCCTGCTCCGCGGGAAGCCTGCTTCTCCCTCTCCCACTCCCCCTGCTTGTGTTCCCTCTCTCGCTGTGTCTCTCTCTGTCAAATAAATAAATAAAATCTTAAAAAAAAAAAAAAGAAAGAAAGAAAAAGTGATGACAAGGGAACTTTCCAGGGGGGTGGAAGTGTTTTATATCTTGGTAGGATATAGGTTTACATGGGTATTTGCAAATGCCAAAACTCATTATGCTTATGCTTTGTGCATTTCACTGTAAATTTTACCTAAAAATGTAGAAAATGGGAATGCTCTGGGAAGACTATGTCTAGCTGGGAGTTGGCAGGGCACAACTGTTGGGAAGTGGACCAGAGAGGCAAACTAGGTTACCCACAAGTACAATTCCACCTTCCTTTGTGGGGTGTGGTTGAAAAGTTTTCCCATGGAGGCTGTAGACCCAGTTGGCCCAGTAGCCTTGATGCCCAGAGCACCTGGGGTCTACAGAGGAGGGAGGCAGGGATTGCTGCATGTTTCAGGAGACGGATATTTCAACTGAGTCTGCAGGGTGAGCAGTTGGCCAGAGGAGGGTGGACAGGTGGAGGGTGGTTTCTAAGCACTGCTCAGTGAAGTGTGGTTGCCTAGCATGGTCCAGACAGAAAAGGGTAGAACCAGACTTTGAACTACTTCCTTTACCCCAAGCCCCATCAGTAGGCCTCAGAAAAATTCAAGCTTGTTGGAATATTTTTTTTTAAATAAATTTTATAGGGGCCACTGGGTGGCTCAGTCAGCTGAGCATCCAACTCTTGGTTTTGGCTCAGATCATGATCTCAGTGTCCTGGGATTGAGCCCCATGTCGGATATGCTCAGTGTGGGGTCTCCTTGGGATTTTCTCTCCCTCTTCCTCTGCCCCTCCCCCTGCTCATGCTCTCTTTCTCTCTCTTTCAGATAAATAAAATCTTTATTTATTCATCTGAGAGAGAGAGAGAGAGAGAGAGAGAGCGTGCACAAGTTGGGGGAGGGGCAGAGGGAGAGGGAGAAGCAGACTCCCCGCTGAACAGGGGCTCCCTCCCAGGACCTGACCTGAGCCAAAGGCAGACGCTTAATGAACTGAGCCACCCAGATGCCCCTAAAAGAATTTTTTAAAATACATTTTATTTATTAATTTTTTAAAATAAACTCTACCCTCAGCATGGGGCTCAAACTCATGACCAGGAGATCAAGAGTCCCAAGCTCTACTGACTGAGCCAGCCAGGCACCCATAAGCTAGTTGGAAGTTTTTTGATTTTTTTTTTTAATTTTAGATTTACTATTTATTTGAGAGAGAGAGCATGGGGCTCGATTCTATGACCCATGAGATCATGACCTGAGCTGAAACCAAGAGTCAGACACTCAACTGACTGAGCCACCCCTGCGTCCCTAGTTGGAAGTTTTAAAGCTGCTCTTTAAAGAAAGAACAGTGTCCTGTTACCACTGTGTCAGGAGGCCAGGTCCATACCCTGATCGCAATGCCTTTTGTCAGCTGACATCTTTTGGGGTTTGCCTGCGGCTCATGACTCTCCACTCAAGATCCAAGGTGGCAGTGTGGCCCATGTGCTGTCTGACTCACTTCCTGGAGGGCCTGGCTGGCTGGTGCATACACTGGCTGGCCTGTTTTCCTCTGAATAGAGAGAAAGGGGAGAGGTATTGCAGGTCTAGCACCGGCTTTGAAGCCAGACCAGCCTGGGCTAGAATCCTGGTTCTGTGGCTGAACTGGGAATGTGGCCCTGGACCAGTCACCCCCTCTGAGCCTCCCTGACTCTTCTCCGTCCATGAAGCATAATTATGGGGGTAGTAAGTCTGAGGACAGAACCACATCGTGTGCAGAGCACTGAGTACATAGCAGGCACTCAAGGCACAGACAGCAGCGGTCAGAGCTAGACCTAGGCCGAGGATCTGTCAGTCGACTGGGCTGTGGACACCGCCATCCCTGGCGGAGTTTCCCCGCGCTGCTTGGCTGTTGTTAGCCTCCCTAATACCCGCCTCAATTCTAGGTCCGCGTGCGCGTCCCGGGCTCCCGGGCAGGGTCAGGGGCGAGGAGGGCTCAGTAGCGCCCCCAGCCGGCTCCAGCCGCCCGCGCCCCTCCCTCTGACTCCCCGCGGCGTGGGGGGCCGCGGAGGCCGCGGTCCGAGCCGCCTGGCGAGGCGCGGGCAGGCAAACAGCGCTGTGGGGTCTGACCACCCGGCGCCCCGCTCCCCTGTAGGGATCGGAGGGGCTCAGCTGGCCCGGGGCGCCTCCTCGGGGCGCTCGCTCCCCCTCTCTTTGGGGCACACCCGCTTGCCTTGTCGTGTCTCCCCGCTTCCGGAAAGGAAGGACGGGAGAGGGCGGATCCTTGCTAAAGGAATGATTTATTTTACTCCATCTGTGACAAACTGAGCATTCCTGCTGGGGGAGCCTGGAGGGAGAGGAAAAATGTGGATCTGGTTAAAAAACAAACCGAAACAACAACAAAAAACAAGTTTTAGAGTCTGGTTACCAGATAATGTTTTTAGCGCGTATTGAGTGCCAAGGCGCTTGGGATTCCCAGGTGGAGTGACCTGCTCTTTTGTTTCGTTGTTAATTCGCAAACCTCTTTTTATTTGTGTGGTGATGGGGCCACGTTTCGCCAAGTGAGGCTCAAATGTGGAGAGCAGGGACTCCCATTCATCCTGTGTCCTCGGTAATGCTCAGAGTCAGTCCAGAACCCAAGAGTCAACCCCAGTTATGCACCGGGACAGACTAGAGTCCGGAAACCTTGCTAGGGTGGGAGTCCCGGGGCTAGGGACAAGAGGCGGTGTGGTGTGCTGTAACTTCCCATCCCCCTGCCAGCTACACCGAGCTCATGGTTGGAGGGGGCAGGGCCATTACTTCCTGAGGTGTCCAGCACAGGTACTGGGGTTCCCTCGTAAATTCCCTTTGTTGGGAAGAAAAATAAGTCTAGGTTTATTAAGTATCTATTTGTTAATTAATTTTATGATCTCATTTAATCTTCACCTTTATTTTTCTTCCCATTTCACAGATTGGGCACAGTGAGGCTCCAGATTAAACACAGTGAGTAAGTAGTCAGACTATTCAGCTCTTTCCACTCTGCCAGGTTATCTGCCCAGCCTCTGGTTCTTGTCGGGGACAAGGCTCTTGCTGGTATTACAACCCAGATTACCTTGTGTTTAAGGCCAGCAGTTTGACCATGGAGACGCTCAGATGCCAACTAGTCTGCATTCTCCAAAGAGAACTTACCATCTTGCTCTAGTCCAGAATTTTTTTTTTTAAGATTTTATCTATTTATTTGACAGAGAGAGACATAGTGAAAGCAGGAACACAAGCAGGGGGAGTGGGAGAGGGAGAAGCAGACTTCCCACCGAACAGGGAGCCCGATGTGGGGCTCAATCCCAGGACCCTGGGATCATGACCTGAGCTGAAGGCAGATGCTTAATGATTGAGCCACCCAGGCGCCCCTGGTCCAGAAATTTTAACACATGGATTGACCTAGTTCTACTGTCCAATTTGCCACCTCTTGGGTGGGGCCTTGACCCTAAAGGCTGAACCTTATCTTTAATTAGCCTTTTGAGCAGCCCTGAGCCAGGACAGGCCTGTGTTCTGAACAGGCAGGCCAGAGTCCTGGGCAGAGGAGCCACACATGTGGTCAAGTAACTGGGGGCTAACTTTCTCCTGGAGCACACACAGACTCTGCATCCCTCTGCATGGATTCAGAAAGAAATGGAAGCTTCCCTTACACTGCCTCTGCCTCCCATTCCTGTGTGACCTCGCACAGGACCGTGGGCTAGCCACTTGTGCTCTCAGGGCCTCAGCATCCTCCTCTAGGAAGTGGGCAAGCAAGTTGGCCAGACTAGCTCTAGGGTCCTGTGATGTGATGTAGGCAAGATGGCCCCTGGGCTGGGTGCCTGGGTGGCTCAGGTGGTTGGGCGACTGCCTTCGGCTCAGGTCATGATCCTGGAGTCCCTGGATCGAGTCCCTGGATCGAGTCCCTGGATCGAGTCCCGCGTCAGGCTCCCTGCTCGGCAGGGAGTCTGCTTCTCCCTCTGACCCTCCCCCCTCTCATGTGCGCTCTCTCTCATTCAAATAAATAAATAAATAAATAAATAAATAAATAAATAAATAAATAAATCTTTAAAAAAATAAATCAGTGAAATCCTTTAAAAAAAAAAGATGGCCCCTGGGCTGAGCCAGAACCACTCTTTTTTTTCTTTTTAAGTAGGCTCTGCACCCATGTGGGGCTCAAACTCACAGCCCCAAGATCATGAGTCTCATGCTCTACCCACTGAGCCAGCCAGGTGCCCTGAACCACTCTTCCTTTTATTGCTGTCCCTCAGAGCACCCAGTGCCAAGACTGTGTGTCAGTAAACATCTAGTGAACAAGGAGATGACCCAGGGTAGACTCCAGAGGCATTTGGAATGCAGGACACAGCAAAGAATGTTTTCCAGACCCCAGACACTCCCTCATTAGTGAGCTTAAAAAAAAAAAAAAAAAAAAAATCAAATGTATGCATTCAGGGCAAGGAGAAAGACAAGTCTGGGGGAGGAGGAAATTGTCACTGCAGAGGCAGTGACCCCACCCAGGAAATATGACTAACCCAGCTGAGGCCGGGGCTGGCAGACACGGCCGCCCAGTGCTGGTGAGTGTGGTGGCTTTCCTGGGGCTCTCCTCGCAGGTCCCAGTCTCCGAGGTGACCCTGGCCAGCAGCCAGCTGAGGCCACTATGGGGAGGCCCCGAGCCGGGGTGGACCTCAGCCCCCGGGGGTGCCCGCGAGGAGCCAGGCCGGCGGCATCCACTGCTGGCCCCCAGCGCTCGCCCTCCTCCATCGAGGCCGTCCGGCTCCTCAGCACTGTCCCCCCGAGCGGATGGGGACCAGGCTCCGCAGGGGCGGGGCGGGGGCGGAGCCAGGCGGGGCAGGTGGGCGGGGCAGCCCGGGCCGGGACCTGGGAAAGTGAGAGGCTGGGTGCGGCGGGCTAGGAGGAAGAGCCTGAAAAGAACAAGTACGAGGAAGGAGAGCTGCGGAAAGGTGAAAGTGGCAGGGTGGTTGAGGGAGAGTCGGCCCCGGGGACTTCTAGCTGGGACCTCTAACGCAGGCAGGTGAGGGCTGGCTGCCAGGGTCTGGAAACAGACTCACATTTCTGGAAGCCGCTTTGTCCGGGACCGGTGTCCCCCAGCCCGCTGTCCTGGCAGCTTTGTGCCAGGCTCCAGGTACATTTATGGTCTGACTGGAGCCCCACAGGCTGCCCCAGAGGAGGGCAGGTTGTGCCCAGGATACTGACGAGCCACTCCTGGGTCAGGCGTGACCTGGCTGGCGGGAGAGGTGGTGCGGACCTCCTGACAGATTTGAGGCTGCCCATCCCAAAGACTGGACTGGAGTGATTGTAGACGGGTGGGCTGCAGTGGTTGGGGGACGGTCAGAGCATTTGAATTCAAACTAGCACAGCCCATTATTTTGCAGATCCAACGAGACCTCAGCTGAGGGTCTGGTCCTGGGCTTGGGGTAGGGGAAGGGGGGGAGGAGGGAAGGGAGAGTGGAGGAGGTCCCCCAGGCTGTCTTCAAAGGCAGGTTCCTTCCGAAGTCCGAAGTCTGGCCAGACCCGTGTGCATCCTCCGCCACCCCTGGCCCCATGATGGTCTCACTGGATTCCCCAGCCTCTGCTTTCTGCCTCTGGGGCTGCTGCAACTTGTCCCAGCCTGTGAAATCTCTTTCTCTCTCTCTCTCTCTCTCTCTCTCTCTCTCTCTCTCTCTCTCTCTCTCGGGCTCCAGCTGCTCTAGGAATCGCAGGACCACAAGTCCTGTGTATCCGACGCACCCTGTGAGCGCCTGCAGGATGCCGGGCACAGGGTGGGGTTTATAGCGGCGGAAAAGTTTTCCCTTCCCTTCTAGGTTCTTTGGCTGGTCTATTAAATCGATATAAGACAGATTAACAGGACAAAACCAGAAAGTTTAATAACGTGTATACCTGCTGTATACTTGGGAGAGACCCAGGAAAACGCCCTGAAATGGTCGAAGCCATCACCTTAAATACCATCTTATGCTAAAGAAAAAGGATGTTGGGGGTCCGTTAAGGGGAGGTTACCAGGAAAAGCACGGTGAACAAGGGTAAGAGTGTTATGCAGATTTAAGTGGCTGCTTTCCCCTCTGATAAGTTGCTACAGTCATCCCCCCTCCCTTCCTGATGCAGTGGGGAGACACCCTTACAGAGGGAGATTTCCCTTATAAGTGTAAATGTCTCTTACGAAGGGCAACTTCTACTTGGTTTTCAGAATGTCACCTGTGTCTGCTGCTTCTTAAAAATAGCCGGTTTAAAATAATCGGCATGCAAAGAGGCTTATTTTGGGGTGGTATATTTTGCTCCCCTTCAGGTTCCAGCTAGGTCCAGAGAGACAAAATACAGTCCCCGCCCAATAGGCCTTTATAGTCTGGTAGGGGAGGTGGGCAGATCCATAACTCAGAGTACTCTGGCAGAGTGGGAAGAAGCAATGGTTTTAATGTAAGAGGTATGTATGGAAGAGGTTGTCTTGGGAGGTGGTGAGTTCCCCATCCCCAGAAGTGTTCAAAAGGAGGATGGTGAGGGATGCTATAGAAGGGATTCCTGCACTGTGTGCGTATGGGCATGTGTTGGGAGGCAGATGCAGAGCAGATTTAGATAAGTATTTAGACTCCTTCTAACACTGACATCTGTGATTCTGTGACATTCCCCACCTAGGGGAAGTTTGTCTTTGGCCCCACTGGGTGTGATGGCTCCCTACTTCTCTGCCTCCTCCAGTTAGACCATGAGACATGGGTTGTTCTTTCTCATTTCTGTGCCCCCACCATCACTCTGCCCAGTGCCAAGCTCCCAGCGTAGACTTTGTATGGAATTGCATAGAGCCTGGCGTGGGCTGCTAGAGGAATGCAGGAATGTCAGGCAAGTCTGTCGCTCTGGATAAGACATGAAGCTGTCAGGTCATCCTAATAGACCACCTGCAAGTAGAGACTGAGGTATCTGCTCCCGAGTGAGAGGGCTGGGAGCACTCCCAGAAAAGGCTGAGGCTACCAAATGTCCTGGAAGGCTCCTTGGACAGCTGGGGTTTGGTCTGAGCCTGGAGGGTGCATACTGGACTTGAGGGTGGGCGTGCACACTGAGAAAGCTCAAGCCACTGTGGGCTTGGGCAGAGTGGCTAGAAGGCAGAGGTGTCAAGTAGCCCCTGGAGCAGAGCCTGGAGCAGAAGGCCAAGGGGCAGGGACCTGATGGGACAGCAGGGGTTTCCGCCCTGACCTGAGCTTTAGAGTCGCCTGGGACTTCTTACATATGCTATCGGGGCTCCACCCTCAGAAACTCTGATTTTAACTGTTCTGGTGTGTGGCCTGGACATTGGGATTTTTTTTGAGTTTGATGATTCTAATATACAGGCAGATGTGAGATGCCATTCTGGACAGTTAACTGGCAGCAGAGAATCCCCTGGAACATATGTTGAAAATACAGATGCACAGGCCCCACTCCACGCCTCTGTGATCAAAATCTCCAGGCCTGGGGCCGGGGCCTCTGCGTTTTATAAGATCCCAAGCTAATTTTAACAGGCAGCCACGATGATGCAGAAGCAGGTGGCCAAACCCCTTTCGTTAAAACCCTGCAGTGGCTGCCAGAGACCTGTAGTCCTGAGAGGGGGCTGCCTGCTTCTGAGTTACGGCCTGAGCTCCCAGATCAGGAACACAGAAGGAGAAATAGTAAAGCTAACAATTGACCCTCTTGTTCACACCACCTCTCTGCTGGCTTGGGCGTAAGGGCAGCTGCCTCACCATTTCCAGACCTGAGTCACAGGCTGAGTAGCCCATGGCAGGGGATGTGGGCAAGCATGTGACCTTCTGTGGAATGGAGGAACATTAAAGGTTCCCTCCCCCAAACTTCCCCCTCACCACCTCCTGCTTTAGGAAAGGGTGGTTCCAAAAAAATGCCTTCAGCTCTGTTGTGAGTTAGGAATGGAAAAGAAGTCATGATTCCCATGGTATTTGACATCCATAACCACTGCTCCTGTTTTTCCCTCCATTTTCTGCTCGGACCCAAGACCCTCTGCTCTCCAGCCCGTCCCCTAAAGATGGCCCTTCGCTCTTCCTGCTTCCCCAGTCCCCAAGAAGCTCCCCATGGTGCCAGTTTGCCTCTTCACCCTGAAATTCCCCAGACCCCTACTCTGAGTCACAGAGGCTCAGCTTACAAAAATGCTGTTCACCTGCACAGCGTGAATTGTGTTACAGTGCTTGCTAGTGTGTGGGCTGTGCATTTTAAGCCAAAAAAAGAAAAAGCTGTGTAGTAATCGGAACATAGGAAAGAGATGGTGAGTGAAGCTGTAGCTACTGCATTTGCTGAATTTTTAAAAAATATACATATTTTTAAAATACTTGCCTTGACCATTTCCCCCCTGAGTAACTTGTCCAAAAAAGGTTGCTTTCACTGGTGGCCTATAGAATAACATGACGTTTGAGGTGTGGGGGAGGAAAAACTCCCCTGCCCCTCCAGGTCCTTCTAGCTGGACTTAGAATCAAATTGACAGGAGACAGATTAACAGGAGAAAATTAAATTTAATAGCATACGTATGGGGAATCCACACAGACATGGAAATTCCAAAGACAGTGAAGCAACAAGACTCTTAATAGGAGCTGAGGAGAGGGCTAGGGTCTGAGGATACAAAGGGGAGAAAGACCATCAGCAGGAAGGTGAGAGGAGATGCTTGGAAAACAAAGCTTGCCCCATTATATAGGTAAGTTTCTTAGGTAAAGAGGAATCTGTTAAGAGCTCTCTTCCTAGTATAAGTAGGCAGTTAAAGGGGAGGTAAACCACTTTTACTGAATCAATTGGGTTTTGATTGCTTTTAAGTCAAAATAATGTTCATGCCAAAGTGGCCGATCTTGGGGTGCTGTGGTTGCCCCCTACAGAGGCATTTGAGGAGAGCTGGTCATCCGCAAGTGATTGTTGATGCCTGGGAACTGAGAGTTTAGAATTAGGGAAGGCACTAAGTGTAATGTTAGCTCTAGGGCTTTTGTGTTTCTCTGTTTGTTTTTGGTAGGTGCCTTTTATTAGTTTGAGGAAGTTCCCTTCTATTGCTAGTTTGCCGAAAGTTTTTTTTTTTTTTTTTTTTAGTCAGGAACGGATGTAGAATTTTAGTAAATGCTTTTTCTGCATCTGTTGAGATGGTTATATATATATATATATATATACACACACACATATATTGTCAATGCAATATATATAGTTGATGCAAAATGAACAAACCTTTTAGAATCTCTAAAAGAAAGAAAGAGAGTTTTATTTGAGCCCAAGTTAGGACAGTTGCCTGGGAAACATGCTCTTCACAGGGAAGAATGTGCTCCAGAGAATGGACAGTTTTTACAGGGTTGTATACTTTTCTACATTTTACAAAAGCTCAAGAGATTATAGATTAGCATATAGGTAGGAACCATGAGTTTCAACGTCAAGGAATGCAGGAAGTAGGAGCATTGGTCACTATCTTAAGAACGAGATGGTTTCCTTCAGGCTACTCATTTACAAGGCACGTGTACAATGTATGTTTGGTGTGACATAAATCAGGATTTTGGTTTAAACAAAGTTTACGTACAGTCATGCTGACTTAGAAAGAAATAAAGTGGATTACACTGATTGATTTTCAGATGTTAAACTAACTTTGCATTCTTGGGATAAATGCCATTTAGTGTTTTATCCTTTTTATATATTGAATTCCATAAGCTAAAATTTTGATAATATTTTTTGTGTCTATGTTCATGAGGGATGTTGGCCTAATTTTTAAAAATTATTTATTTATTTGTTTGTTTATTTATTTATGAGAATAAAGAGAGTGAGCATGGTGGGGAGGGGCAAAGGAAGAGGGACAGAGAGAATCCCAGGCAGACTCCTGACCTGAGCCAAAATCAAGAGTCAGACATTCAACTGACTGAGCCACCCAGGTGCACCCTAATTTTCTTTTCTATAATATATTTATTTGGTTTGTTATATCAGGATAATGCTGGTGACATAGAATGAATTGAGAACTGTTCTCTTCTATTTTCTGGAAAAGTTTGCATAGAGTTGGTACTATGCCTTCCTTAAATTTTTGGTAGAATGTACCATGACTTGAGGGTCACCTGGGTGGCTTAGTCAGTTGAGCATCCAACTCTTGATTTCAGTTCAGGTTGTGATCTCAGGGTCCTGGGACTGAGTCCCAGGTGGGGCTCCCTAGTCAGTAAGGAGTCTGTTTCTCCCTTTCCCTCTGCACCGTCCCCACTCATGCTCTCTCTTTCTTTCTCTCTCAAATAAATAAATAATCTAAGAAAATAAAATTAAAAAAGAATGTACCATGACTTGGAACTGGAGGGGGAGTTAAGTACAAATTCAATTTCTTTAATAGATATTGGAACTATTCAGGTAATCTATTTTTTCTTGAGTGAACTTTCATTATTTGTATCCTTCAAGGAATCTGCCCATTTGTTGAATATATTGGCATAAGTTTTTGTAATATTGTCTTTATCCTTTTAGTATTTGTAGAATCTGTAGTGACTCATCTCTCTTATTTCTGAATTGGAAATTTGTGTCTTTTCTTTTTCCTAATCAGTTTGTCTAAAGGTTCATCAGTTTTATTGATTTTTTTTCCAAAAACCAGCTTCATTGATTTTCTCTCTGTATATATATTTTTCTTTCTATTAATTTCTGCTCTTATTTTTATTATTTCTTTTCTTCTGATTATTTTGAGCTTAATTTGCTTTTCCTTCTCTGGTGTTTTTATGGTGGAAACTTAAGTTATTGATTTTCGACTTTTCTAATATAAGCAGTATTGCTTAAAGAGCTGTACATCAGTCAGCCTCGTGTAAGACCCAGAGTTAGGGGTCTGGAAGCAGAAGAGAGGTATGGCTGAGAAGTCACAGCAAGAGAAAGACATTGGCCCAGGAGTCAGAAACATAGTTTTCACTAGCCACTCACAAGCTTTGTGGCTTTGGACTTAGACTTTCTGAGCTTCAGTTTCTTTGCCTGCATAATGGAGCCAGGGTAATCTTCTCTTGGGCTCTTGGAGATGAAGTAGTTAATGAATATGATAGCATTTGACACCTGGAAGGGCCTCCCCAGACCAGTGTGAAAGGTGGTTGTCATAACATGTGTAATCATAATGGCTTCTTCTGTCTTTCCAGAACAGGAAACAGCATGTACACACGCCTCCCCCAGAGGTAGGCTGTGTGCCCCATTCCCTTTCATCCCTCGCCTTCTTCACCCCCAAGGGCTGCCCTCCTCACAGCTTCCCTCATCCCCACACCACAGTCCCCCGCGCATCCCGGTCCTCCCAGGTGTCTGCTTAGGTCCACTCCTCATGGGCCCTGGCCCCCGCTGCCACCCCTCTTCCCTCCTGCAGTGGCTCCCCGTTCCCAGCCTCGGTGCAGGATCCCGGCCTGCATGTATGGCGGGTGGAGAAACTGAAGCCAGTGCCCGTAGCACGTGAGAACCAGGGCGTCTTCTTCTCGGGGGACTCCTACCTAGTGCTGCACAATGGTCCGGAGGAGCTCTCCCACCTGCACCTGTGGATAGGTAAGGGGGCTGGGGGACCAGTTGAGGGTGTGGAGCTGGGGCTGGCATGGGTCTCACGGGCTTTGCCCTGCCCCTCCCTGCCACCGCAGGCCAGCAGTCCTCCCGGGATGAGCAGGGGGCCTGTGCTGTGCTGGCCGTGCATCTCAACACCCTGCTTGGGGAGCGGCCCGTGCAGCACCGAGAGGTGCAGGGCAATGAGTCCGACCTCTTCATGAGCTACTTCCCACGTGGCCTCAAGTACCAGGTCAGAGCCCACCTCCCAGCGCCCTTACCCTGTGGCTTCTCTCAGAGCCACTCCTCCTTCCAGCCAGTTCGCACGCTGCAGAAGGCCCAGGCGCCCTCAGGCCTGGGTCCTCCCCACCTTTCTGCCCAGCCTCCGCGGGCACAGGGTACGGAGGGCCGCGGGCCTCCTGTCAGCCCACTAAGGTTGGCCGGTCTGGGCTGCAGGAAGGAGGAGTGGAGTCAGCATTTCACAAGACCTCCCCAGGGGCCGCTCCAGCTGCCATCAAGAAACTGTACCAGGTGAAGGGGAAGAAGAACATCCGGGCCACTGAGCGGGCACTGAGCTGGGACAGCTTCAACACCGGGGACTGCTTCATCCTGGACCTGGGCCAGGTGAGCAGGCAGGGCGGGGCTGAGCACTGTGTGGGCACCCGGCTTTTAAGAGGCCAGGGAGCCGGCGAGAAGCCGCTTCAGCCTTTAGGAAAACATCTTACATTCAAAAAGACAGCAACCTCCCTCTGCCGTCCAGCCACTGTCTCTAACAGAGCAGCCTGCTTTCTCCTTCCCTTGGAGCCTTAGTAGCTCTGAGTTCGCGGCCAGCCAGACCTCTCGTTCATTTGTCCGCTCAGCAGTTCACTCAGTGAGTCTCTGGTACCTACTCTGAGCCAGCTCGGGGACCACAAATGGCTTGCCCTGGGGAGGCAGCCAACACAGGCCTGTCACCTGCTGCGATGCTCCGATGCTCCGTAGGATGTGATAGGGGCCTGTGCTGAGGCGCCTTGGGGCTGGCAGGGCTCCCTCTAGCGGGCGCTGGTGCTGGCGCCACTATCCCGGGAAGGTGCCCTCTGACTAGACCTTCACGGAGGGGGACAAGCCTTTCCAGATGAAGGCACAGGTGAGCTGAGGCTGAGGCACTGAAGGCGGAGAGGTGCAGACAGGCATGCGGACAGCAGGGAGGGGACTGGCTTGACGGGGACCCTGGGTGGGGACAGGAGCAGTGGGAGCAAAAACTCTCGTGGAGCCTGAGACCTAGGTCCCGAGACTGTTGGAGGAGTCTGGACCACGTCTTGTGCAGAAGGCTCGAGGCAGAAGCCAACCCAGGGCAGTGGAAGGGGTGCGAGCAGCAGTGAGCGGGAGGCAGGCGACCGGCGCAGCACAGTGCTGGTAGCCGTGTGAGATACGGGCCTCAAGGATGCCATTCACCCCTCCACGCACTCGTACATTCATTCATTATTTAATATGCATCTAAATATGCGCCAGTCTCTGTTGAAGTACTGGGCACGCGGCTGTGAACAAAGCAAAGCAACACAAAACAAAATGCTCATGCCCTAATGAAGCTTACGTTCTAGTCAGGGGAGATAGATTACAGACAAGATAAAAGACCTTTATGTATATGTGGGTGAGCCTTGTGGAGAGAACGCGGAGGGACACGGGGCTGCAGGGAAACACTCTCGCAGAGTGTCGTGTTGTCTTAGGATGGTCTTGCCTCCAGGGGCAGTTCTTCAGGACCCTTCCGCCAACACACACACACACACACACACAGAGTCAACAGGCATGATGCAGGCAGCTGAGCCTCCCCACTTCCCTCCAGAACATCTTCGCCTGGTGTGGTGGAAAGTCCAACATCCTGGAGCGCAACAAGGCCCGGGACCTGGCCCTGGCCATCCGGGACAGTGAGCGGCAGGGCAAGGCCCAGGTGGAGATTGTCACAGACGGGGAAGAGCCCGCTGAGATGATCCAGGTAGGGGGACGTTGGGGTGGGCAGCCGGGAGGAGCTGGGGGGTTGAGGGGGGTACGGGTGGGTGGTCTGGGGTACTGCTTAGGGCTGTGGCTAGCTCACAGGGTGCCCTCGTGTGATTCAGAGTAAAGTGCTCCTCTGGGTGGATGGACGAGGGGCCTGGCAGGTGGACTGGACTGGACCCAGCCCTCACTCGCCTCTGCTGGGTGCCCTTGTGCAAGACACAGTTTGCCTCCCCAGGCCTGGTAGCCTTCGGCATGATGGGCTGGGAAGGTCTGGGGCAGGTGCCCAGGAATCCCTGGAAACCTGGCCCGCCCTGGCCCCTCTAGGTCCTGGGCCCCAAGCCAGCTCTGAAGGAGGGCAACCCCGAGGAAGACCTCACAGCTGACCGGACAAACGCTCAGGCCGCGGCTCTGTATAAGGTGGGCACTCTGGGCTACCCTGGGCTGGGGCAGGGCGTGCTGAAGGGAGAGGAGGAAGCCCGGGGAAGGTTGGGTCGGGCAGCAGGGTTGTTTATCCAGGGTTCGAGTGAGGTGAGGATGGGAAATGGTTGGATGTCTGGCCCTCCTGAGGAGATAAAGACCACTTCACTTCCGGCCCTTTCTTGGAGAAGGAGGTGTGAAGCCAGTGCTGAGCTTGACTTTTTTGGATTCTTTGCATTTATTCGTAATTTGGAATCCACTTAATTTCCAAATGGATGCAAGGCCTCGGCACTACAGTGATTGAGGGTGACGTGAGGGGAGGGGTGCCCAGTCTCCTCTCTGCTCCTTGGGCAGGGACCGTGAGTGGGGACCATGGGGGCTATGGTCTAGGGGCGGAGGTCGGGGCTGTGTGCTGGGGGCAGGGCATGGGATCTGGCACTGCCCATCATCTCCCAGGTCTCCGATGCCACCGGACAGATGAACCTGACCAAGGTGGCCGACTCCAGTCCCTTTGCCCTCGAGCTGCTGCTGTCGGATGACTGCTTCGTGCTGGACAACGGGCTCTGTGGCAAGATCTACATCTGGAAGGGTACAGTGGCTTCTCCATTCTAGCCTGAGGCCCCTGCAGCTGCTGCGACCAGGCCGCTTCCCCCTGGAGGGCTCAGCCTGCCTGACTGCTTTCAAAAACAGCCTCAGGGAGCCGCTGAGCCTTTTCTCTTTGCTGCTCCCCCCACTAAATTCCAGGCAAAGGTTCTGAAACATCAACAAGCCTTAGAATCCCCGGAGGGCCTGTTAGGACAGATGGCTGGGCGCCCCGCAACCTCCAAACACCACCAAAGAATTTGCATATCCAACTGGGTCCCAGGCCTTGCTGCTGGTCCAGGATTACATTTTGAGGACTGCAGTCCTACAGCACCCCTAAGCCTACAGCACCCCTAAGCCTACAGCACCCCTAAGCCCTTGGGGCTGCTGGGACCCCAGTCTTGCCATTCTGCCTTGGGGTGTGACGGAGAGATTTTAAATTAAATCTCACTTTGTGCCCTGGGTAATGAACTAGAACTCATTTTTCCAAGAAATTGTATTGGCTGGAGATAGAAACACCGTTGTGTATAAGCCTGTTCGCTTGGTCTAACTGAAAATGATGAAACAAAGCTCTGAGTCTCTGACTGACCCTGGGAACCTCCTTACTTCTCCATGCTTGTCTTTTCTCGAGCATGTCCTACCTCCCTGACCAGATTACAACCTTCCTGAAAGCAGGAACCATATCATCTCTGGTGTCGTGACGAAATAGCACTTGCTCAGTAAATAATTTTGGGGGCAACCAAAGCCAAGAGAAACCCGCAGCCCTAGCTTGGTGAGGAAGATGGGGAAGGATTAGGCGTTCCCAGGGTAGCTGCTACTGGCCAGTAATACTCTGGGCTCAGAGAAGGGCCAGAGCAGCAAGGAGCATGGCAGCTTTCTACGATGAGCTGGGGTGGGGGTGGTTGGAGATTGGGCCCTGGGGCTGCCCTTCCCCTCCTACCACAGGGTACCTTTCCCATGGAACCAGTTCCGAGCTTGAGGGGTTCCCAGATGCCCACGGGAGGGAATTTAACCCCAAGCAAAGAACTGAACCATTTTGGAAAGAGAAACCAGAGGGGGAAAAAAAACCCAAGAAAGTTGGGAGCCAGGAAGAGAAGTATCTTGCCTTAAACTGGAGCACATCTTGCACTAGAGGGATGGCCCACAGGAGGGAATGGATAACTGTATGGTCTTCCTTTTTATAAGCTCTTAGGTGGCAGGCCTAATGGCTGTCTGGCATTATGGGAGTGAGATTATAATAAATCACACCCTTTTGTCCTATTTAGTTTTGCACAAAAGGCCTGATACTTGTTGATACTTGTCAGCAGTACGGTTGACAGACTCCAGCAGTGTGGTGCCCCAGGGTGGGGCTCTCGATTTAGAGTCTCAGGCCACCGGGAACACTAATCCTGAATATCCGTGGGGCCATGGTCTGAGCAGGAGGTTTTGATTAGAGCAGGCAGAAAGAACAGTTTTCATCCCACAGAGCTGCCGGGTTGGAAGTCTCCAGGGCTGACTTCACACCTCCAAAGACTCCTCAGCATCTTAGCACCCCCTGGTCTGTTGTTTATTTTAAAAGTTGCCAGCTGGGGCACCTGGGTGGCTCAGTTGGTTAAGCGACTGCCTTCGGCTCAGGTCATGGTCCCGGAGTCCCGGAATCGAGCCCCGCATGGGGCTCCCTGCTCCGCGGGAAGCCTGCGTCTCCCTCTCCCGCTCCCCCTGCTTGTGTTCCCTCTCTCGCTGTGTCTCTCTGTCAAATAAATAAATAAATAAAATCTTTAAAAATCAATCAATCAATCAATCAATCAATCAATCCGCTTCCAATTATTCCAGGGCGAAAAGCTAACGAGAAGGAGCGGCAGGCGGCTCTCCAAGTGGCCGAGGACTTCATCTCCCGCATGAGATATGCCCCCAACACTCAGGTGAGGAGACGCCTGGGTGCCCCACCTCCTCCTCCGGGGGCTCTTCCTGTGGCCTCTTGCCCCTGCAGACCGGACAGGAAGGGCAGGAAATCCCCGGGCACAGTCAGGACCGGTCAGGCCTCGCTACCGCCCCCTCCAGTGCGAAAGCCCTTTTTAGTCCTTCAACATTTTTAAAAGTACATGGTGTTTTCTTTTCCTTCTTTAAAGATTTGAGAGAGAGAGAGAGAGAGAGCGCGCACGCAAGCGCGCTTGTGCACGAGCACGAGATGGGGGAGGGGCAGAGGGAGCGAGAAGGAGAAGCGGACTCTGCTCAGTGCGGGGCTCAGTCTCACGACCCTGAGATCGTGACCTGAGCTGAAACCAAGAGTCAGATGCTCAACTGACTGAGCCACCCAGGCGCCCCGAAAGTACACAGTGCTTCCTGAGAGGATGCGGGGCAGCTCTCATGTGGCAGCTTGTGTGCCTCCTCTGGGCCCTTGTCCCTGGCTCGTCCTGCCCCCGTTGCTCTAGCACGGCGACTCCATGAGTCATTCCGAGGGGAGCTGGTAAGGCTCATCGATGACTGGCGTGTCTCTCGAACTGTGCACCCCAGTGCTTGAAGCAATCTGTTTTCTCAGCCCGTGTCCCATCTCTTGGCTTATTTCTCAGCCAGGAGCATACCTGGCCAGGACGGCCATGTGGACTCAGGCCTGGCGCCCGGCACCCTCCTCCGTGGCTCCGCTCTGGCCTTGCCTGGTGGAGGCAGAGGTGGGAACCTCGTGGGCTAGACTTCTCCCCCATCTTCCCTGCAGGTGGAGATTCTGCCCCAGGGCCGGGAAAGCCCCATCTTCAAGCAATTCTTCAAGGACTGGAAATGAAGATGGGCGCCCCCCGCCTCCTGCCCGCTTTCTCCTCCTCTGGCTGCCTGGTCCCTGCGGAGGTGGCCCCGCGGCTGTTCAATAAAGGAGACAAGTGCTTCCCCCGCTCTCTGCCCTCACCGTCTGTCCCGAGCTAATCCTCACTCCCCGACTAGTCACCGGGCCTTATCCACGGGCTGGGGCAGAGGAGGACCCAGTGGCCGCCCGCTGCCCAGCTCAGGGGCTGGAGCGGACTTGGCACCATCGAGGCAGTGGGGCCCAGAGTTCCCAGAGGGCTGGCGGGGACTGCTGGGAACCCGGTGGAGAGGAGGCACAGCACCGGGCCCCCGCTTTGCTTGCAGCCAGGGTTCAGTTCAGTCACATACCCCTCCGGGACAAGGTTGGTGCAGCAGGCTCGGGACGCAGTTCTGCTGGAGCCAGGATTTCCTCAGCTGCCCTGAGAAACCACCGTGAGGCGGCTCCCAAATGACATGCTTGCCGACCAAGAGGACAACTTCTTTCCACTGCGCCAAGTCTGGCTTGTCACCGCATGGGCGCATCACAGCATGTTAGGCCGATGAGCGCGGGGCCACTGTAGGGCCGGGGAAAGCCCCAGACGAGTGTGGAGAGTCACGGAGTCTGGATCGGATGTTACCCTGCCTCCGTGTCCTCCCGGGCAAGTTGCTTTTCCTTGTCTAGGCCTTAGTTCATTCTCTCGTGTCATGGGGCGGTGGCTGGAATATCAGTCTAGAGAGCCAAATAGGAGAACGGAGTAGCTCAGAGTGCTCCCAGCCGGGAGGGCATGATCCGGGGGCAGGAGCAAGGCTGGCAAGTTTGGACTGCAGTTCAGGAGGCCAGGCTGAGCTGCTGCAGCTGTCCTGACCCACTCCCACCCCTGGGCCCCAAGGGCGATGTGGCTTCTGAGCTCTGATCAGCTGGATTCTTCCATCCCCAACATATTCTAACCAAGTTCATCCTGATTTTGTGCAAAACAGCACAGGAAAGTCAGCTTCTCTGTGTATCCCCCCAACTTCTCTCTGGGGAGCTGTGCGGTGGTCCACCCGACAGCCTCCACAGACAGGATGTGCCAGGGATGATTTGCAAAGGAGAGCGATGAAGGGGGCACCAGATCCTGACTTTTTAGGGTTGTGAAGCATTTTACATCTCCCATGGAAGGCCTAGATAGGCCCTTCCTAAATAAAATGCACAGGTTAAGATTCTTGCATCTACTTTCAAAGGGTGAAAGGCCCCCCTCCCCCTTCCCCAAGAGAACCACAACTTAATCCCTGGACTACGTTGTTGCTAATGTCCCAAGGTCTGAAGCTGAGCACTCTGGGGGCATTACAGAGGGAGTGACTTGGTTAGAAAGGGCTCTTGCAGAGGCCACTGGCCTCCCCTCCAGCTAGAAGCCCACACAGACTGGTCCCCGGCCATAGTGCAGGCTGGGCATTCACGGTCGGGTCTGCGGAGTTAAGCCTTCTGGTCTGAGAGCAACCGGAAGGAATCCGCAGGGGAGGAGCTACAGAACGGACACTCTGAAGTGGAGGCTGAGTCCCAGCCTTTCTGCGTCCCAGCCTCACCAAGCCCAGGAAGCTGTTGGCCACTGCTGCAGGCCCACTAAGCACCCAGGCTGGAGGAGGAAGTAAAGTAGACAAAGGATGAGTTCAGGTTGGGCCAAGACGGCACAGGCAAACTGCCTTCCGTTACCAGCCCTGTCCTCGAGGCATCCTGCTAAGAGCAGTGGGGAGTTCTCTGCCATACCAGGGTGGCTATGTGTCGTCCCGCCTCTGCAATGCACCGCAGCTCCGGTGGGTTACACTTGGAGAAGCGTGCAGGGGCGAGACCGTGGTCTTCCATGGGTCTACTTGACGGAGTACAGAGGACAGGAGAGCCATGTAGTGGGGTCTCCCCAGCTCAGGATACCCTGGCCCAGAGGAATGGAGCAACAGAGCTACTAGCTTCCCCAGAAGCCAATGTAGGAAAAAACATGCGGGGGCCTCACAGCAATCTTAACCAGAGCCAGGGCCGCCCTGCCCCCTGGCTAGAGTGCACAAGGCATCTTGGCCTCTAAGTGCAGGAGGGACACCATGTACACTCAGTGGGAGCCTGGCCAGGGCAGAGCAACCTTCTCTCCTGGAGCCCCTGGCTCTCACCAGGCCCTGGAACAACAGGGCCACAGGAAGGGGCAAGTTTTGTCTTGGAGGAAAACTCTTGGGGCCCTTGACCTAGAACAATTCTTTTATTCAAAAACTGCTGGTGTGTGAATTTCCTCCTTCCTTCAACCAATCCAGAAAGCCATCCCTGATGGGAACTGCACACCTCCATGGGGTGGGGAGTGTGCAGCAAGGGGGTGCCCAGCTGGTGGGCAGTTGGGATGGGCAGCAATGGAGACACCTACCGGACAGGACAGCCGGTTCTGTGTCATCAACAGTGGGGCTGAGGGATGGGGAAAGGGGAGGGTGGGATGAGTCCAGGCCAGAGACCCCAGAGGGGCCGGGATGCCAGCCCAGGAGAGGACAGCGAGAAGGCCTCTTGCCCTGGTTCATGCTGTCCCCTGCTGGCTGCTGCCACGGCTACCTTCTCCCTTCAAATTCTAGCTCCAGGGTCCCTGTCCTGTGGACACCCATTGCCTGAGAGCCCTGCTGCCCAGCAAGCCAGAATCTGGCACCTCGGCGTGGGAGTATCTCTCAGCGTGGGCATACGGGAAACATCCAGGCAGGGCCTTCCCACCTCATGATCCATCCACTCGTCGAGATTACCTGCAAACCAACTCTCCACTAGCTCAGCTCAGTTCTGGCAAATCCTTGCTCTGGAGGCGGGTCTGTGGGGAGCGGGGTGGGTCTAACTATCCCTAATGTCTCACATGGGTGAGGGTCCTTGGCTTCCCTGACCAGGCCCAGCCCGGGTACGCCTGGCATAATGTGCCATGCACCCTCCCAATGCCCCTGTGGCCCATGTTTTAAGTCTCCGTCAGCCTTGGGCTGGTCAGATCAGCCACGTGCCTTCAGATGAATGTGGCGGCAGGTCACACACGCCTGTGAAGGTGAGATCCTTGGAGTGAGGGGCTTGTAGCCCAAAGCACTTCTGTGCTCCCAACAACGAGGCCTGTCCCTTTGACACTCCAGCCAGGTAGATTTCCAGGGTCTTGAGCAGCCGCCTGGGGCTCTTCTTGGCCAACACCTCCAAGTCTGGAACAGAGGATTGGAGAACAAAAGGCTTGCCGGGCTCTGGACTGCACACCAGTCCGGGCCCAGCAGCCGTAGGCAGTACCCCCATCCCAGACCCTGTGGAGTGGAGGGTGAAGGAGTCTTCTAAGGTGGAGAGCTCACCAGAGAGGGAGGGTGATGGACCAGATAAAGCCACAGCAACCACACCTTCTACCTTGACCAGGACAGTCTCAACTTTGAATGGCCAGTCCAACTGTTGGACCCAGCTTTTGATTCAGAAAATATGACCACCCTCGGTCGGAGGCCAGAAGGGAGGGCGGGCGCAGAGAAAGGGGAGCTAGCAGGCCCCAGAGGGTTGTGGGCTGATGGAGACTTTGAGCAGCTGGAGCTTGAGAAAGTGGGGGGGGGGGGGCGGCTAGGGGGAAGGGAATTGCAGCCCAAACCAGTCTAGCAACCATGCTGGGGTCCCTGAACCTGGGCAGGGGGAGGGGGGACACACTAGGGAGTTCAGGCCTCTCCAAGAAGAAAGAGCACACCTTTGAGGACAAAGCCAGAGTCAGCGATGGTCTTCTGCTGCGTCCTCCAGACATGTGCGAGGCGGAGGAAGGTGGCGGCATAGAAACTGTTCACCACTGGGATCACCTTTTGCTGCCGGTTACACTCCCTACGGCACAAGGGGGCGGTGTGCTCAGCAGCGGACCACGGACCACAGCTGGCAGCTGGGTGCCTCTGCCAGCCCCATTCCCCCCCACCCCCAGGGAGCCATTCCGCAAGCAGCCTTCGCCTCCAGGGCAGGGTTGGGAGACTGGTTGGGGGTGAGGGTGCTCTGTCCTGGCTCCCTGGGGAGCTGCAGGTCTCCAGAACGAGCTGGGAGAATGGGGCTGGAGCAGGAGGGAACCAGGCTCTGCTGCATCCTTCCTTCTCGTCAGCCAGCCAGCAGCCCCGGGAGGGGTGGCGGGCGGGGGGGGGGAGGGGCTGGCCCGCAGTGCTGGGACTCACCTGGAGAGGCACTCCTCCCTTAATGCCTGGATTGCGATGCGGGTGATATTCACGGACATCAGACAGAAGGGGAATTGCTGGAATGGAGCAGGCAAGGGTCAGTGGCAGCCCCGGCTCTTGGCTTCTGGGCCCGTCATCCACAACCCAGCAAGGTCCCCTGGAAGCAGTGGCAACCACGGCCGGGAGGCAGCAGCTGACATTGCTGATGTTCACACTTGATTTTCCCAATAATCCTCCCATTTCCCAGATGAGGAAGCTGGGACTCAGTGACCCGAAATGAGCTTCCCCAGGCGCTGGAACCAGGATTCCAACTGAGGATAATTCACACGCAGGCTGGCGGGCATAAGCCCTGTGCAAGCTCTCCAGCCTCTTCCCCATCCTTGGCCTTCATTCACCAGACCCACCGTGGTGCTGCCCAAGGACCACACCACCCCCTGGGGTCAGGCTGAACACAGGAGGGGTGAGGCTCGGTTATCCAGCTGTATAGGTTCCTACAATCTCTTCTCCCCTTTTCTAGGCGTCTTATTTGACTGCTCATAAAGCACTTCATTCAAAAGTAGAGACGGCACAGGCACAAAGTAGGTAGGAAACCAGACTGGCTGGCAGACCCCATTTGTCAATAACGGAGGCCTGAGAACTAGCTGTGCGGGTCAAAGAGGGGGCAGCAAGGGGTTCACCGGGGCTGCTTCCCCAGGAGGGGCCTCAGAATCCGCTGTGGGGTCTACTTTAATGCTTTATTTTTGGAGGGGCAAGCTCCTTTCTTTTCTTTTCTTTTCTCTTTTTTTTAAGTAGGCTCCATGCCCAGTGTGGAGCCCAAAGTGGGGCTTGAACTCATCACCCTGAGATCAAGACCTGAGCTGAGACCAAGAGTCAGACACTAAACCCACCAAGCCACCCAGGCGCCCCATCCTTCCTATTCTTTAATAACAAAACCTAAGAAAATGAAAAGGGGCTTTTCCCAGGGCATTTCCATATATTACATGTTAGTTTCCACTGTTGCATATATCCAAGGACACCCACTGAGAGGGACCCACAGATCAGTGCACTCATTCGTTTAGAGCAAGAGCCAAAGTCTATCCCATCTGCTTCCCCTGAGAAGAAAAGCCATTACATTATGATGCATAACTGTGCTGTCCAGTATGACAGCAAGTAGCCACAGAGAACCATTTAAGTTTAAATTAATTAAAAATTAAACAACTTTGGGGCACCTGGGTGGCTCAGTCAGTGAACCGTCTGCCTTTGGCTCAGGTCATGATCTCAGGATCTTGGGATCGAGCCCCATGTCAGGCTCCCTGTTCAGTGGGGAGTCTGCTTCTCCCGCTCCCTCTGCCCCCCACCACCCCCACCGCCCTGCTTGTGTGCTCTCTCTCTCAAATAAATAAAATAGTTTTTAAAAAATTAAGCAAAATTAAAAAAAGTCAACTCCTTAGTTGAAAAAACCTCAACTCTTTAGTCCTATTAACCATATTTCAAGTGCTCAATAGCTGCATGTGCTCAGTAGCTACTATATCGAACAGTGCTGATATATTACAGTCTCTTCATTGCAGAAAGTTCTATCTGGCAGCACTGAACTGTCGAGGGTCTTCTGCTCCATAAAGATTTTTCTCGGGGTCTTCTGTGGCATCTGGGTTCCAGATCTTGGCCTGGCCACCTACTGGCTTTGTGTCCTTAGAAAGGCCACCTGCACTATATGAGACTTAGCTTTCCCATTAGGAAGTACCTTTGAATGCTGTGCAGGAGAGAGTTAACGCACCAGGATCTGAGACTGCTGTCTTTAGAAAGGCCTGCTTGCAAGGATGGCCCCTGGCTGGCACCTGGGAACCTGGATTTGAGGAGGGTTCCCACCATTCCCTCAGGATGATTCATGCGCCTCAGCTGTTTGTACAAACAACATGATTTATGCTGAATATCTGCCTTTTCTCTGTGATTCTAGCATTTGGGTATGTGCTACACAGATGGGCACGACTGCGTCCCATAAACCCTTGGGCCTTGAATCTCTCTATAGTGAGCTCTCCGGCTGACACCGTTTCCCGTGCTGCACAATTCGAT